TGGATTAGTCATAAGCATTTAAAAAGGATAACCCTTCATTATGCATAACGATAAAACCCGTAATTATAATACAACAGGATGAAAACCCGAGTTTTTTAGGTTATCTTTTTGATGTTTTATTATGGTTAGGTTAGTAAGTGTGCCAAAGTAATGGCCATTTTTAATAGTTTTTTTTGGCTGAAAAATAACGGCCAATGGCCAAATAAATTTCTTTGGCACGACCAATATAAGGAGAGCTATCGTTATATCAGGGTTCTGCAAGTTCCGGACACGGCACTATGTTCTAATAGTATTGTGCCCGGCACTTGTAATTTTTTCTAATGATAACGATTTTGTTTCTGACGAAACTTGAGTAGACTTTTGACAGTAGTTATCTGGCATCAGTATTTGCTTATAAAAATGTTTCAGAACATATGCAGTTTCACTGATAAAAGTGTGTTTGAAGTTCCTTTAACTGGTTTTCGTTTAATTTTATTGAAAACGTGCAGTGCAGTTATGCAATTGTTATATTATTTACAATGGTGAGAATTTATTGTCCAAATTAGATGTAATATTACTTCTTATACGTAAACGATTGAAATATCAAATGTTTAACTTTTATTAAAAGCAATTAAGCGTTATATAAAAATTGTTTACATTAAAATTCATTAATTACAAAATAGTAAAAAATTAATATTTCAACTTCGTGTGAGCAAGCGATAATATATAGTACAACGATCAAAATTATCGGTTTTACAAAAATTAATCTTTAAATTTTAGCCAATCAGAATTTTCGGCTAACTGCAAAGAGAATGTGCGAAAGGTTAATTTTACAGCAAATTTTTGTTTCGGATTTTCAAACAAAGCGCTTTTTCCACAATCTCATGCAAATCAACGTCCACAATCTCATGCAAATCAACATCATTCAAGAGCTTTTATTTCAACATCTTTTAGAGAGTGGCAGGGTCCTGCTGCAATTGTCACAGATTCTGCGATGACGTACAAATAATGCTTTAAACCAAAAAATCAATTTTAATTTTTATCATAATTATAATCGCATACCAAAACAATTCTTTCCCTATAATTTGTTCAAGTAGTTATTCTGCAGTAGCGTAGATCCTTTGCCTATTAGTCATGTTAATGTAAAAGCAGAATTCTGCGCAGGTTCCGCCACCGCAGATTTTTAGACACTTTATTTGGAATCACTTATATTGCCTTTGGATTCGAATCTGCAATGTTCACACAAATGATGGAGAACAAAAGTTTTCGCGACTTGTAAAAATCCTATAACGATAATAATAAATAATATGATTCTGTAATGTTCACACAAATGATGGAGAACAAAAGTTTTCGCGATTTGTAAAAATCCTATACCGATAATAATAAATAATATGATCGATAAATCCATTATTTTTAGATGGTCAAAAACTTTTGCCACGAGTGTATGCATTTACGTACGTACATACAATGATGCTATTTAAATCTGGTGCCTATTATTACTATCGTTCTTTCGAAGTTATATAGATCTAATCGATTTAACAATTGAATAGATTAACGACTAAATTCAGCAGATAAAAAAAATTAGGATTTGGTAAAATATAATACATGTCATGTGTGGAAAATTTCTATTTAGTGATAATTTAAATTGAATGATGAGATTTAGAGACCCCAGATTATGCGATTTGAAACTGCAACCGATGCGATGTGATAATTTCAAATTGTGCGATATTTATACCATATAGGGATGTTAAGACTCGACTCCAAAAGTCGAGTCTTTATTAAAGTTCGGTTCCAAGTCAGACTTGGAACTCGACTCGCCGAAAAAAATATGTATTCATGCATACTTTGCATGCATATACATTCTTTTTAGCGCTATATTTAAATATACAAGTTGCACGTAACCGAACTTTAATAAAGACTCGACTTGAGTCGAACCGAACCGAACTTTTAACATCCCTAATACCATATGAGTGCGTGAGAGTGAAAACCAGGAAGTCTAAAAATAGATTATTATGAATTTCATAATAATCTATTTTTAGACTTCCTGGTTTTCACTCTCACGCATATTTTATATATAAATCCATAATCATCACAATAACAATTGTGATAAGTGATAATTTAACAATTATATACAGATGCTTTTATTATTCGCTTAAAATATGCGGGTTAGAGGCGCATAAATGATTTAAATTTGGAAATTTAATCGCGTCTTTTATGTAATTGCATCTGTTCGTAGTCTCTATGAGATTAATAGAATCTAAACCATGATGATTTGATCAGTGATCATATAGTAAAATTGTTTATGAATTGTTTATATATCCCATTTATGGGTAGTGCTCCGAACAGATTAGCTAGAATGACTTGAATCAGATCAATTTTTGGATCATTTGAGCTAAGCTGTTTATAAGCATCATTTTGTTATCGCCTAATTTCAATAATCAACCAAAACTAAAACGACCTATTGAAATAGTGGCCATTTATTACGCCAACACCCATTGTTTAAAGTGTCTTTTTTGAGGCTTCAAATATAATGTGAATCAAGGACGATATTTTACAAATGGCCACTATTTTAATAGGTCGTTTAACTCTAATTCCAACCATTTTTCGTTCATATGTACAGTACCAGTGGGGTGGTCGATCAACTAATAAAATCAAACCTATATGTGGACTCAGATTTATATAGTACAGATTTTTGAACGATTACAATTGGTTAATTTTATTGTAATATGAAAAAGAAAAATTTTCTAAATGACAAACTGATAAAGGTAATTTTAACTATTGAGTTATCTATTTTTCAAAATATATTAATGTTTTTTTATTCCTTTTTCTAATGAACTAAATATTTTTTCAAACTCTATTTTATTTAACAATTCAAATGCTTCTATTAATTCTTAAGAAAAAATATATTAAAGTTATTTATAGCATCTGTTAGAAAATTTAACCAATTATAAATTTATCTGGTATTTTATAAGCATAATATTTAGGAGATAAATTAACTCAATCCTTACTATTAAATATTCAGAGCACTGGATCTTGACTAACAAGAAACTTTATTATTGATTTAAAAAAATAGTTACTAAACTTTACTAAATATTTTTAATTAAATATTTAGTTTTTTATTATTTAACTAGATATAAAAGAAGTATTAATTATTTAAGTATAATAGATTCATATTAAGATAAGTTTCTAATACTTTAATAAACTATTCTATAAATTAAAAATATAACTCTTTTTTTTCTAAATACTGTTTAGTTATATATAGCTTATATTTTTTTTTTTTTGTTGTTAAAGATAGTTTACATTGCTAAAAGAATTTTATTAGTATTGCAAATGGGATTATATATTAATAATTTCTACTGTTTGTAATTACATGAAGAGTATATAACAAATTACATATATAACTTTAGTCATTGTCTATTTTAAATAGTCTGTTGCATAGGTATTAGGCTATTTAATTAGTTCTATACTATGCTACTATATTTGTAACCTGTCTATGAATTACTTATTTAAATACTCTGTTTATTAATCTATACAAATTCAATCTAATATTGCTACAATACCTAACTATTTAAGCTAGCTAGCTTATTACAGATCTATTTATTTAGAATAGCTTAGATCCTTTCAGAATACATTATATCTAATACATTGTTAGTATTACAGAGTTAGTTAATCTTGAAGCAAATCTACTAGAACAATCTGTACCTATTTTACAAATTCATTTAGCTTAAACTTTTGTAAATATTTGTATAACTCCAGATTCTACTATAGTCTTCTACTAGTTAGTTAATCTAGTTCTTTTCTAGTATTTAGCTAGTTTCAGTTACTCTTCACTCAAAAACTTTGAAACCTTCTATTTTTATTAGACTAGGTTTTCTTTTCAGATCAAACTTTAGCTGATATAGTTCTGTCAAAAGCTGTACTATTTTACTAACTTAGAATTTCTACTATGCAAGATTCTCTACTTATATATCTTATCAAAATTTATTTATGTAATATTATATCATACTTCCAAGTCTAATTAATTTAGTACAACTCAATTTACAGAAGTATATTCTCAGAAACAGATAAAGTTTATTATAATATATCACTAGATCTGAGAAATTATTCAAATTTATTAATAGTAAGATTTGAACTTTAGATCCATTATATAGTAATTTGATAACTTAACTACTATACTAGATCATCAAATCTCTATAACTCATATTTCTAGTAAGTTTGTAATAATATTTAATACTATAAATAGTAATATCTGATAAGAAATTTATAGAGATCTTGAATATATTCAAATTTAATATATATAGAAGTATTATTATTTTTATTTCTATAGCTATTATAAAAACAGTAATCTGATATATAATAGAGTCTACAAAACTTGCAGAGTTGAGTACACTAATCAATTTAGACTTTTCTAAGTTGAGTACACTAATAATTCTAAGCTTTTCTAAGTTGAATAAAAATTTAATTACAATATAAATAAATTATAGTTTATTAATAGTGATAGAATTAATTAATAGTTAATTGTAGCTAATTTATAATTATTAATGTACTATAATAAAATTTTTTTGTTTTTATTATTTAATATATGTTTTCTTACTGCATTATTTAATTAATAATATATTGTACTACTTTTTATTATTATATAATTATTTAATTCCTAAAATATATGTATGCTAGACTTATAATCTTTTTAGAACTAAAAATGATAAAGAGAGAGTTAAACCTTTCAAATCATTAAGTTGTATATATGAATCTACATATTTTGCATAATGAATTTATTGAAACATTTGCTTTATTCTTACTCAACAGAATATATATCATTACTAAAAATACATTAGATTACTTTTTAGTAGTATATAGATGCAGGCTCAAAGTATACTGAAGTAAAATATATTTTAAATCTAATAGTATTTAAAATACATAATATTATATATGATTAATGTTTTGTATTTATCAATTAATATTTTTTGATATAACTTTATTTTTGCTACACTATTAAAGCATAAGCTTATACAAATAAATAAAATCCTTAGATAATAATATTAATATGCTAGTAGTTATAAATCTATTATTTATTAATTAGTTATATTTAGTTAAAATTTATTAAAGATTATAATGCTTTTGGATAAGAATTGTTTTTAGCTAGCAGATTTGAAAAAAAGATATATACAGTATATGCTTATTATATATTAATTAAAGTATTTAATAAAAATAAATAAATCAAATAAAAAAAGGATTATTATTTATGTGATATTATATATTTATATAGTTAATTATTTATTCACATTAAAAGAATTCTTTATTTAATAAGAATTATGAATTTTTATTTTATATTGCTTATATTTATATTCTTTTATTAATTAATTACATTATTAAAAGCATTATATTTGATAGGTCTGGTGATCTTAGTATAGTAGTTAGATTGTCAAACTGCTATGCAAGAGGTCTAGAGTTCAAATCCTACTATTGACGAATTTGAATAATTATTCAGACCTTTGTATCCAACTTTAGGTAAACTCTGTTCATTTCTGAGGTTGTAACCCTGTAAATCATATTGCACTAATATCATCTGGATATTGGAAGTGTGATGAGGCATTTGGCGAGACATAATATTACATGAATAAATCTTGATAGAATCTACAGGCAGGGGATCTGCATAGTAGAAATTCTGAGTTAGTGAAGTAGTATAGCCTTCAACAGTCATACCAGCTAATGCTTGATCTAGAAAGGAAACTATCAATGAAAAATGCAGATCGAGTTGAGTACGTATAAATCTATTCTACAGGGAGGCTCAGTAACATCAACTTGGCTTGGCAGCTAACTAGATTGGGAGAATTTGCTTCATGAAACATCTGAGAAGATAGATACAGAAAACTAGTAGAGAGCTACAGTAAAAAACTAGATTATACGAATATCTACAAGGGTCTAAGTTAGATAAATCCATAAAATAGATACGGACTACTCTAGTAGGTATACTTCAAGGTTAACTGGCTTTGCAGTATCTACAATGTGTTAGGTACAATGTATTCTGAGAGGACCTAAGCCATTCTGAATAAATAGATCCATAACAAGCTAGCTAGCTTAAGCAGTTAGATGTTGCAGTGACGTTAGGTTGGATCTGTATGAGTTAATAAATAAAGTGTTTAAATAGGTAACTCACAGGCAGGTTACAGGTATAGCAGCATAGTATAGAACCAATCAGGTAGTCTAATCACCTATATGATGGACTACTTAAATTAGACAATGAATAAAATTGTACATGTAGCTTGTTGTACACTCTTCATGTAATTACAAACAGTAAGAACTACTAATATATATCCTATATGCAATTCTAATAAAATTCTTTCAGCAATGTAAGTCGCCTTAATAACAAAAAAAAAAAAAAAAAAAAGCATTATATTTTAAGTTCTAATTCCTATTTAAGCTTAAGAATTTCTAATTTTTCTTTTTTAAGTTTCAACTCTTTTTCTTCTAATTCTAATTTCTTTTCTTTTAAAAGAAGGATTTTTTCTTCTTTTTCTAAATCAAATTCAGCTAATGCATCTGTTAAATTTTGAGAGTTTTCAATTTTTTTAACCTTTTTTGTTCATTTTGATTTAGTAGATGATTCTGCTTTATTAAAAGAATTAGTTCTCTTTTTTGCTATAAAAATAAATATTTAATAGTTATTATTAAATTATATATTATTAATAATATAATATATATATATATTAATTAATAAAAAATAAAATATTTACTTAATCTGCGAATAGCTTGTTTTTCACGTACTACTACTCCAAGATTTTTTCTAGTTTTTTGAATTTCATATTTTTTTTGAATATTACAAGTAGTAAAATTTTACATATCATATCGTTTGGCTCTAATTAAAAATAATAATAGTTAATAATAAATAATAATAAAATATAAAATTTTAAAGCTTAAATTAATTATATTAAAATTACATTTTCAAGTGATAAGAATTTGCCATCCTGATTTATATTTGAATGACATGCTTCAGCAACATTAGTATTATCTGGAGCTTTGTATCAAATATTATTATCAATAAAAGAATATAAATTATTTAATGAACCATGTATTCAAGATGTTGAATAAATGTAATCCAATCTAAAAAAAATTAAAAAAGTTAAATATATATTATAAAAACTTTTATATTTATAAATAAATTAATATTAACCATTAATATTTGCTTTATTAGACTCTTTTAATATTTGAAAAATTTCATTAACTCTTTCAGTCATACTAGCATTTGGATATTCATATATTAATTGTTTAATATGATTTGAATATTTATTATTTTTAATATTTCTAAAAAATATAAATTTATAAATTAATATATATTATTAAATAAAAAATTTTTTTATTAAATAAAATTTAACAATTTATTTACCTATTGTAATGAATTCTATAACTTTTAAAAATATGAAGTAAATGTTTTTCCTATATAAGATTTGGATAAAGTTTATTAAGTGCAAGTCCTAAACCTTTAGCTTAAGCTTGATCTAGATCACCAAAAATACATTTCTATTCAATTCTATTAATATGATAAAGTTTTGGAAAAGAATTAGTTAATTGATAAATCCAATTAAATAATGTATTAAACATTCATTCATATGCTATAAAACTTGTAATATTTGTAAATACATGTGTGAAGGTTAATGCTAAATAATAAATTAAAATTAAAAAAAATAAATTTTATATAAAAATATATATTAAATAAATATTTTTACTAATTTTATAATATTCACTATAAGAATTTATTTCAAGTTTATTAATATTTCCTTGAACATGCTTAAATACTACATCAATCTCAAAATATTCAAAAGATTTTCAAGCTTCAGCCTGTAATTTAAAAATACAAATCACCATAATTTGTCTATCAGCAAATACTCCTATATAAATATTAAAATTATTAATATAATTATATTAATAATTAAAATAAATCTATTTATTTAATAATTTATTATTATTTACCTACTTGTTGAACATAATTATTATATTCTTTTTTTTCTTTTCAATTTATTAGAGCAATAGTAATTTTATTTTAATATTTTTAAACACTTTAAGTATTTTCTTATTCGATTAGAAATACTTTAATTTTTGATTTTATTTCAATTTTTATTTAATTTTTAATTTTTCGAAACTTCGAAACTTCAAATTTTAGAGAAAATTTTTAAAACCTGAGAAAAAGAGTAATAATTTTTAAATAATCCTCTTTATAATTCTTAGAGCAAAAATTTTTTTATTTTTCGAACAATACTTGAACAATTTTTAGATAATTTTTGAAACAGAGAATTTAATTGAAACAGAATTTTTTTAATTTTATAATACTTGGATATTTTAAATTTGTGGAACAAATTTCTTTAAGGGAGAGAATATGTTATAGGATAGA